AAAAGATATGAGAAAATGTTATAAATATTATTTTGTTAACTCTAAAAAATGGGTAAAGTGTAATTTTTTAAATTTTACCGATTCGATTCATGTACTGAGAATCACTCGACCACATCGTAAAGGGTATCAATGGAAAGCTTTATTTCTCAGAAATTAGATAAATATAGCTTTCTGTCACTTACGACAGTTACTGAACACTTCAATCATGATCTAAACGGTGTTTTTATGACCTTATTTTAGGGTCACCCCATTCATGAGGCATCAACCTTGAACTTTTAATAAAGCACGCATGTGGATTGCTTACGTGTGTGGAACATTGACATGTGATCGGTTATCCTCTTATGAAATTCCAGTAGACCGAGCAGTTTTTTCTCTGTAAAATGCAATTTTTCAATTTGATGTCACCCCTGAGAGTGTGTCACTCAGTGCTATCCGCACCCCCTGCACCCTCCTAGTGACGCCACCGTTTCCACATATCATACCATATATGTCTTCAAGAAAAGAGTGGCGTTATTTAAATTAAAATTAATTTAAATAAAACACTGAAAATCAGGCCTGCACAACATACGAACCGCGGGCCACATGCGGCCCGTCAGAATCCACTTTGCGACCCGCAAAGAAACGAAATATTCTACATATTTTCTTAATAGCTTTATCCCTTGTCCTATATTCTTTTGGATTTCACAAGTCTTGTCCTATTTCTTATTTTCCGCACAAGGTTTTCATAAAGTATTACGGCCCGTCTGACATTTTGAATTGTGCAGGCCTGCTATAAATGGGTAAAAACTCATTTTAAATGTGTTTTTTTTTTACCAATTCTTATACTTAGAATCGCTCCAGCAGACCGTAATTGGTATCAATGGAAAGCCATATTTATCACAATTTAGATAAATATAGCCCCGTGTCACTTACGGAAGTTACCAAACACTTCAACCGGAGTGGAAAAAGGACTGTGTTTTTCTGACCTAAACATAGGGGTCATCTCATTTCTGACGCATCAACCTCAACTTTTAATAAAGCATTGGTTAAATTTGTGCAAGATTTATGTTTGATCGGTTATCCTTTTATGAATCTCCGTTAAACCGAGCAGTTTGTGCTCTGTGTGCTCTGTTCGCTCTGTAAATACGCAATTTTTCATTCGGGTGTCAACACTAAATGAGAGATTGCGTTTTGAATGAAAGGCAATCTTTATGAACTATATGGCACTGCAACTGGGTTTGTTGCTTCCTTTTAACCATGGGTTATCATGTTAAAAATTGTTTTTTGTTTGTGTCGTTACACAATTTGATTGCTACACAACATCGGGAAACAAAAAAAGTTAACAACTGAATTGTGTCTCCTTGCGTTAAGCCTAAAAATAACTTAAATAAGGTCGACACAAAAAATCATATCTTCTATTCTTTAAGTGATTGGAAAATAATCTTGGTGTCAATTTCATGTCAGCCATTGACAATAGTATGCCTCTTGTGCATTTTCGATGTATTTGAAATCATCAGTTTGAGTACCTGTCACTTTAGCGAACAACTTAAATAAGGATAAAACTTCTTTTTAATTCTTATACATTTAATGTAAATTATTTTGGCTTATGCGGGCCTCGATACCCTTATGAACACAAGTTCTTTTGCTACAAAGCGTGCATTACTTCCATTCTGCTCAGGCTTTCTTTGCCCAATGCATTTTAAGAAATACATCCTGAAAGCGTTGTGGTTTTGTCTAGAAAATCGTGACAGAACAGTAACCCAGATAACTATGCATGGATAATATTGGAAAGGGGTGAATATAAAATGTTTATATAAAAGGATGTTAGTAGACCAAGACTAGGGAGAAACTTGTATCCGTCTTCAGTTCTTCTCCTACATTGTGCTACTTGTTACCCATGCATGACGAATATGTCTTGTCTAGTTGGTGTGTCAATGAAATGTTATTTTTTTAATGAATTTTTATTGGCTATATTTGTCATTGTGTTAGTGGTGAAATCACGGCTCACAATTTTGACCCATTTCCCGATGTCCAATTGAGCTGAAACTTTTGTCACTTATCCACCATCGATGATAAGATACCACTTCATGATCAATAGGTCATCAGTGAGCTCAAATGACCCTTGATTGACCTTATGTATATATTTCAGGAACGGAAAGTGGTATGGACACCGGCATTTATACATCCGTCCTTTATGCATAGCTACCTGGAAAATCACAGTACCACAGAAATTACACTACTTACATTGAACGTGTTTGTATTTCATGGGAGCCACACTTCCTGATGTCCCGTCACAGCTCCTAAAGCTGAAAAGTACCCCTACCCTCCAACCCTGAATAAAAAAAAACTTGTATGAATGTAACAACTCTGCAGCTTTGGGGGGCATTTATTATAAACTTTCATTACAGCTTTGTTAAAGCGTTTTTTACAAAGCTTTACAAATGTTTTATTTTTTTTCTTAAAATAATAAATTATTTAAATTATCTTCATTACTTTAAAAATAACAAAAACAAAAAAAAATAAATTATAAAATTTACCGCACATGTGCTAAGCCAAAGGGGCCGCCATTATTTCGACATATTCTGGTATTGCTGCTGTCAACTGAGGAATAAATCTTTGAAATACTGTGAAGATTTTGAGAAGTTACATTCAAACTCTTGAGAAATCCTTGTACTTGTTGGCTCGTCCAGATTCTTCTTTAAAACTTCATGAAGGAAAAGCTTTGAAAATTTAGACCGCATTTCAGTTCCAACCAAAAAGTAAGTAAATTGTTTACAATTAAAAAAGAAATCTTATTATTATTTTATGTTAACAATTTGAATACTGTAGTTAATATGTTCATTGATTTTAAATAGAAACACTAGTGCATTTGTGATATTTTACGAAAATGTGAATTCAGGTTTTGGAAACTCTAGTGAATCGCATGACATATTTTAATTGGCAGCCTGTCTACTTCCTCGACGCAGCGCAGCCATTATAAATAGAACAAGTCAGTTTTATAACTAATAGAAGCCGATATTATTAATTATAAATAGCTGTTATATTATATTGCATACAGCAGTTCCTACATATTGTAAAGAGTAGTTGGTAATGAAGTTTAAGCGTAATTATAATAGACTTTAAAAAAGAATTTATTATAGTTATAATCTAACGTTTAATATCGATTGTACATAACAACCATTATAAATGGGCAAAAGAAATAATTATAGATGTTACGCTGGGTTATTATGTCTATCAGTTGTTACAGACGCAACGCGGCAGTTTTTATACACGCTACGCAACAGTTATCATACATGGTAAGATTCAGCCATGAGGAACGTTCCTAAGAATTACTTCAATGAAAAAAAATGTTTTAAATATTATAATACGCTGCCGTTGTCAGAACCAGGAAGTTTATTTGGCATACTTCTTTCATAAATGAAACTCTGCCGCATAAGTCACATATCAGAAGCAAGTCGCAAGCAGTACGGAAAGATTTATTTAAAACACAATGTTCTCTCACAATGTGGTTTTCAATTCTCTGTGCTTTACTATTCTTATGTTTCTGTGTAACAAGCATGGGGTGAGTAAATACAACTACCGAAAGCTCACATTTGCAAACATATTTAGCGTTTCCTGTTAGTTTGGCACTAATCAGTTCTTTAATTCATTATGCTAAACGCCCTGGCATTGGATGTTCCATTTGAACCTCTAGAACAGCGCTTGTCAGCCTTTAGTTCGCGAACCCTTGGGTGAGGGGGTGGAGGGGTGCGAAGGTTCCATTCACGGGTGAAGCCGAAAATCATCTGAAAACACGTTTTTATGAAGTAGCTACAAAAATAATGTTATGGTCTGGGGTGGGGTGTCACCACAATATGAGGAACTGTATTAAATGGTCGAGGCATAAGGATAGTTGAAAACCACTGCTCTGGAACAATTAAGAGGTAGCCCGAATATTTTTATTCGAAACATAGTGTATTTTTTGTTGTCAGAAATCACATTTACATACGTAATTCGCTTTGTTCCAGTTTTCAATTTCAAATATATGCAATCTCAGTTGGTGTTAGGGGTAAGTTTCACAAGTCGTGTTATGAAGCCAAAGATTTAAAACTATCAGAAGTTCCTGAATTTACAATCCATATTTTTTAGAAAAAAATGTATTGCATCATTGAATGATTTTTTAAAATTATTTTGTAAAAAGAAAAGAACTAATCATTTTGAAAACAAAATTGCATGCCTCTCGCAACAGCCATTTTCATTAGTTGGCTGATTTTGTGTACAAAATCTTGTGCAGCTTAATGTTAATCTAATTAGCAGGAGAAATCAACGAAGCATTTGGTACCTACTATTTTCGGGATGACGCTTAAACTTAAACATTACAGTGGTTAGCTTTTATTTTAGAGTTGTTTTTTTTAAACAAACATCATATACATAAGGACCCATTAGAGAGAAAAGAAATGTATGACACAAAAAGTTATAGAGGAAATAGTGAACATCCAATACGAAAGATATACTTTTAAAATTATATTCTGTTCAGGCCTACCGTAATATCTAAGTAAACCAATGTATTATATTGATAAGTTGAGATACGTCAATTATACTTTTCGAGAAATTGAGAATAACATAGAAAGCAATTGTCACTTTCCTTTCGACGCATTAAAAGTAACACAGACAGAAATATTCACAAATTACTTTACAAGATAAAAAGAGTACAATAGACAGAAATTGTCACATATGAAAATGTCATGGTATGTAATCTAGTACAATAAATGACAGTACCTATAAATTGCAATCAGCTTGAGTGAAACGCTCCTCAGATTGAAACCAGAAGGTCAGAATGCTCTTTTTGTCACATCGTTGCTAGAACAAGTCAATCAATTTTGCAAACCTATAGCCAAATACTTTTTTTACAGTTTGTCAAGTCAGCTAATGAAACGATTTGTTCAGTGCAGTCCTCACTATTGCCCTATGCTGGTTCCTGTAATAAGTCGTCTCAATGCATTACCAACAGTGGTGATATCAAGTGTTTCTGTCCAGTTAACACTCACTACAACAACTTTACGGCTTCATGTGTATTAGGTAAGCATCAGGATTTTTGTAAATTGTATTTTTTTTGTGGCTGAGATTGCTAGTAGATTTTGTGTCACGCACTAAATTGTCCCCAACGTGCTTGATTATAAGGTCGTGCCACGTGCTGGTTATGAGATTGTGTTGAGTTTAATGGCTCAGCTAGGGTTAGTGCCCACAGGGTAGGCCAACTATTGTGTTTAGTGGCTCAGCTTGTGTTAATGCCACGAGGGTGGGCAAATTATTGTTTTTGGTTGCTCAGCTAGAGTTAGTGCCATGTGGGTGAACCAACTAATGTGTTTGGTGGCTCAGCTAGTGTTATTTCCTCCAAGGTTGGCAAGCTAATGTGTTTAGTAACTTAGCTACAGTTAGTTCCACCAGAGCAACCATGCTGTTGTATGTAGTTGCTCAGCTAGTGTTAGCGCCTTATGGTGGGCCAGATATTCTTTTTAGTGGCTTACTTAGTGTTAATGCCACCCTTAGCGGCCATTTATTTTGTTTAGTGGCTCAGATTGTTAAAGTGCCACCAGGGTGGGCCAGATAATGTGTTTAGTTGCTCAGCTATTGATATTTCCGACACGGTATGACAGCAATTCTGCTTAGTTGCTCAGCAAATGTAGTACTGCTATGGTGGGCAAGCTATTGTGTGTATGGCTCAGCTAGTTTTAGTGCCACCAGGTAGATCAGCTACTGTTGCTAGCAGGTTCAGTTAAGGTAAGTGCCCTTGAGAGGGCGAGCTATTGTGCTTAGTGGTTCAGCTAGATTTAGTGTCACCATGCTGGGCCAACTATTGTGTTTAGAATCTATCTAGTGTTAGAGCAAACATGGTGAGCCAGCAACTGTGTGTTTTTTTGGCTAAGCTAGTCTTAGGCCACCAGGGTAGGCCAGCTATTATGTTTAGTGGCTATGCTAGTTATGGATTAACCAGGTATAGCGAGCTCATGTGTTGAGTTGTTATTGTTTTTAGTTTCTAAGCTAGTGTTAGTTCCTTTGAATTGTGGCTAAGCTAGTCTTGGTGCTACCAGTATGTGCCGTTATTTTGTTTAGGGTCACTAAGACCCGGCCAGCTAATATTTAGTGGCTCAGCTAGTGTTAATCACACCAGTGTTGGTCAGCTCTTTTGTTTAGTGGCTCAGCTAGTGTTGGAGCCCTTGGGTGGGCAAGGTAATCTGTTAAGATGCTCAGCTAGTGTTGGTGGCACCAGCGTGGGCCAGCTGTTGTGTTTAGTGGCTCAGCTTGTGTTAGTGCACCATGGGTTGGCCAGGAGTTTCAAATTTCATTCTCCGAAAAAAAGTGAACTCAGCAGATTGCCGAAAATGACAACTTATCTTATACCATAAGTTTCCGCAAGTGGTGCATACCCCTCTCCTTCTGAAACCTCATTCCTTTTCACTGATAGTATTTATTCATTGATCATATAGTTAGAAGTAAGACTCGTAGCCAAAAATTGCTATTCACTAACACTGTTTTTTTTTTATCTGAGAATACTTTCCATTTGCATATCTCCCATTTTTCACCTCCTCCCAACCTTGCGAAACACAGCACCCATTGTTCCATAGCCATAACAGTAAGCTAGCCAAGGAATGTAAGGCAATGAAGTTATTTTTAGCACGTTTGGCCCTTCAAAAAAATCCTCCAAGCTATTTTAAAAGATTATTAGCCCCCCCCCCCCTTTTTTTTTCCTTTTTTCCCGCATAAATTGTCACTTGAGACCCACCGAAAGTGATCGATTTCGCCGAAGCCGAAAATAGGCCAAAAAGTTTAAAATGACTTTCTGCCGAAACCGAAAAAAAGCCGAAAGTTAATATTGACTTTCGGACGAAACTGAAGCCGAAGCCGAAACCGAAAATGAAATATTTAGATATTTTGAAATTCGTTCCCGCCTACATTCTGCATACATCGAAAATGATGGGGGAAAGTATAAATATTTCCATTCTTTTTATTAAAAAATGAGATAATCGTGAATTTTAATAAATAAACATCTGATGTAGGGGTCTCAAACTCGCGGCCCGCGAGCCGTTGTGACCCGCAAGACGATATTTTGCGGCCCGCTACATGACAGAAACGTTAAGTGTTAATGCGCCAGTGCGTTTCCCCCATTCTCATATCTAGGTGACTCTCCGCGACGGTTTTAGTCGAATCTCACCGATAAGTCTAATTCTGACTTTTTAAAAAATGTTTCTATATATTTTTGTATTATGATTATAGTGATAAGAACCGTTTTAAACTTGGAATATAAGTTTTTATTTTATAGCTTTTTATGAGCAAAGAGTGCCACTTTGAGAAAAGTTTTTAAAAGTAATTTTGCGGGTAAAGCACAACCATAATTGTGTAAATTGTAGCAATCTGATACATTATCAAAGGATCCATATTAAAATTGCCGCTAGTGTTTACGAGTGCCCTTTGCTTTTATAATATAGTTACAACCTAGACCATTGTTATGCACTGGCTCTTTTTGTAAGAAATTAATCTCCTATTTTAATTTTATGGCTCATTCCAACAATGCCTAACAAAGGATACCATAGAGAAATTCAATTACAAAACTATACGAGAATTAAAACAGTTGCCAATTACAATTTTTAAGATTTAATTTAGTTATAATACAATAACAAAAGAAACAAAACATTTAATAAATCATCAACTTAGAGGATATCGGAAAATCTTGTACCGGTATACAAGTAGTACAATGTGCCAATTAATAATAATTAATGAAGACTGCGAATAAGCACATAAGTACACAAAGAATAATACACGTCTAGTGAAGTTAAAATATATCTATCTGAATTTCCCCCTCCTCTCTGTGCCTGTCAATCCTTTATATATGTGGGTCTACCGACGCGTTAAGAAACGCCCTCACTTTTCTAATACAATCGAGAGCGTTCCATAAGATACTAGTAGACATACTAACCATGTATAATTGGATTTTGGTAGTAAACACGATACTTCGAAGACTAAGCCACGCCCACAATAAACTGCTACCGTCTGCGAGGGATCTAATGTGGGGTGAAACAAAGTTCAAGAACGGGAAAAGTGTACTATATAACAACATATATCTACAATAATTACTGTGGCTCTAATAGAGCTCAGTGCCAACTAAATATATTTTATTAAGGCTTTAAAAATATCACCAGAATGTTTCGCTGTTTTCGAAATACTAATGCTTTGTGTTTTCATTAATAGCTTCAAGATATCACTGTATAAATATTTAACCTTGTAAAAACACACTAGTCTTTCCGTGCTGGTGGCTTAATTATTTCGTTTGGAGACCAGCTTCATTCACCCCCAGTGGTGGCGAATTTTTTTTTTTTACTAGGTTTATTAAAATTGTTGTTCTGATCATGGGTCTCAAAGATCGCTTAATTTGTTCTTAAAGGTCACTTTATTTGATTTTAAAGATCGTTTAGTTTGTTTTTAAAGAAAGCTTAGTTTGTTCATAAAGATCTTTGAGTTTGATTTTAAAGATCTGTCAGTTTTTCATAAAGATCGTTTAGTTGTTTATAAAGATCGTTTGATTTGTTCTTAAAGATCGGTTAGTTTTTCATAAAGATCGCTTCGTTTGTTGTTAAAGATCGCTTAGTTTGTTGATAAAGATCGCTTAGTTTGGTAAAAAAAATATCGCTAATTTGTTTTCTTAAAGATCGTTTAGTTTGTTCATAAATATTACTTAGTTTGTTCTTAAAGATAATTGATTTTGTTCTTAAATATCGCTTAGTTCATTTTCAAGATCATTCAGTTTGTTCTTAAAGATCATTTAGTTTGTTTTTATAGATCTTTTAGTTTGTTATTAAAAATCGTTTAGTTTTTTTCTTAAAGATCGCTTATTTTGTTGTTTAAAATCACTCAGTTGTTTCATAAAGATCGCTTATTTTGTTTTTAATGATAATTGATTTTGTTCCTTAAGATCGATTTGTTTGTTCTAAAAAGAACTTTTAGTTTGTTTTTAAAGAACATTTAGTTTTCTGTTAATGATCGCTTAGTTTATTCTTATAAATCATTTAGTTTACAATTAAATATATTTTCTTTTGTTCTTAAAGATCATTTAGTTCGTTTTTAAAAATCGTTTAATTTGTTCGTTAATATCGTTTAGTTTTTTAAATTAAAAATCGCTTAGATTGAGCTTAAAAATCGCTTAGTTTGTAGTTAAACATCGTTTAGTTTGTTCCTAAATGGCATTTGGTTTGTTGTTAAATATCGCTTTCGCTGAGTATTAGATGACCGAAGACATGAGTCCCTTTCAACCGAAACCGAAAATAACCGAAAGTTAACTTTTATCTCTCGGCCGAAACCGAAATTAAGCCGAAAATTAACTTTTCAGTTTCGGCCGAAACCGAAACTTGGCGGAAAGTGATAAAATGGCCACTTTCAGCGCCAAAACCGAAGCCGAAATTCGGTCGGTCTCTAATTGTCACACAGCCTCATATAAAGTTAGACACTCGCCTTTATTACCCCCACCCCAATGTTCCACTATATGCCTGACGCCTTTTATGAATGGTTACAAAGGTTTAATTCATACCAGGGCATTCCCTCCCAAAGTGACATCGTTTATAATGCAGGTTAACCCGCGTTCTTAAAGCAGATATTTAGAATTCAGTGCATGGGTTTAAAGTTAAGGATTGATAGAGTAAACAAACATTACAAACTTATACCTTGTCCATAAAGTGGGGAATTTATGAATTCGGGTTGTATTGCATTTGTATGATAAATATTTTTTTGGGCAAGACTCATAAGAAAGAGATTTATGGTTCATTTCATTTCTTCCATATGGAAGGAACCCCCTAAAAAATTACCATTATTATTTAGATTAATGTCAGTAGAATCGGTATTATTTAGATTGATGTCAGTAGCATCGGTATTGTTTAGATGGATGTCAGTAGCATCGGTATTGTTTAGATTGATGTCAATAACATCGGTATTATTTAGATTGATGTCAGCAGCATCTGTATTATTTAGATTGATATCAGTAACTATATTTAGAGTGATGTCATTGAATACAGACCGCAATGACGATAAAAAAAATTTTCTATGAATGCCGCTAAGCCAAAATCAATTCACAACTATGCTTCAAAATGACATATCAAAGAAATTCAAAACATTCTTCTATAAATATGCAATTTTTAAATGTACTATTTCTTGTAGGATTTTATTTATTTTTTTTCAACAGAAAAGCTAATGAAGGAGTGAAGTTTATAACTGTCCTACTTGAGGCTTGGCTGTATCAACTATTATATATTATTTTTATTTTTAAAAAGAAGACCTTTTTATACTGTTAACGCTAACAATTTCCTTTTGATAAATTTACAGACTGCAATGCTACAACTACTAATCCATCGGGACAGATTGTCAGTCCTAACTACCCGAACACCTACCCCAAGTCTAACCTGTGCACTTGGACTTTGACCGGGACTTCAAACATCTACTATGTATTTAGGTAATATATTTTTTAGTTAAATATCAGTATTGTGATTTTTGTTTATGGCTTTAGATTTCTAATAAAATAATGTATAATACCATGTATAGGTTTAAGGAAACCCAACCCTAAATTAGATGCACAATGATATATGCAGATTTAAGGAAACCCAACCCTAAATGACATGCACAATGAAATTTTGGTTGCATTTTTTTTCTTTTCAACCAAACTTATTGTAGGAGTACACTATTGATTTGGTTATAGAAAATTGTGTTACACACTGCTATCCGTGGGGAGACCTTAATATCCTATTTATATTGTTACGTAGCACACATTCCCCGCGCGAAAACTTTGCTAGACCTAAATTAGATCCCTAGGAGACTGTAGCGTTTGTTGTGGAAGTCGTTAAATTCTCTTTGATGTATTTGTTTACAACCACTGCCAATTACACAATGGGTAGTATGTCTCCTGGTATCTTGTCGAATCTTTTCGATAACCCGAGAAATGTAACCAACACGTCATAATTCTTTTCTGGAAGCGTCTTACGCTACATGTATATAAAGGAGTGAGAGATACGGAGAGAGGAAGATTCAGATAGATAGTTTTAGCTTAATGAGACGTGTATTATTCTTTGTGTATTTATATGGGTTTATTTGCATTCTTCATTATCATTCTTCATTGGCACATTGTACTAACTTTGTTAACTGTGTACCGGTACAAGATCTATCATACTGTAAGTTGATGATTTGTAATGATATTTCTTTTCTTTTGTAATTACATTAATATTTAATTAAATCTTATTAATTGTAACTAGCAACTGTTTTGGGTGTCGTATCTTTACTATTGTTGACTCTATGGTATCGTCCTTTGTTAGGCACTGTTTACAACGAGCCAATAAACTTAAAATAGGAGATTAATTTCTCATATTAGAAGCCAGTGCATAACAACATGTATGGCTCGTTTCAAAACAGTGCATAACAAGACGATACCAAATGATAAAACAATAACAGAGAATACGATACTCAAAACAGTGCTAACCACAAGTAATACATTTTATTAAGTTAATATGGATTACAAAAAAAAAAAAAAAAAAAAAAAAAAAAACAAAACAAAAAAAAGGGTAAACAAAAAAAAAAAAATTTAATAAAGTAAAAATGAAAAAAAAAAAAAAAAAAAAAAAAAAAAAAAATATAATTAAAATCATTAACTTAAGAATATAGTGTTTCTTGTACCGGTACAAAAGTTGATGAGAAATTACAATGTGCCAAACAAAGGTACAACGATGAAAACGATTCACACATATAGTACACTGCTCTATTCTTAAAGAAGCAATCTTATCCTTCCAAAAATAATGCTCTCTCTGCTTATATAGTCTGTTCTACAGAAAACTTCAGGCTATTATGAATTGTAATAGTGACTCGAAATTTCGACAATTTACTATGAAATTTTAGTCAAAAAAAACAGACGATATATTTGTTTTGTGGTAAACAAGATCAAAGGCAAAAAGCCACGTCCAATAGTACCGCAGGGACTCCTAGATTTCACAGCACGTGGAAAATATGACGTAAACACGTCGTCTACATAGCAACTGAAAGAAGTCAAAAGAAACGGAAACTGTTACGAGTCCACATCAATGTTCTCAGCGACAGTTATTGGCAATAAAAAAAGGACGTAATGAAAATATCTTTAAAAATCAAACCAATAAAAATTAAACAATATTGGTGTAATGTACATTTTCATTCTCTTTTTGTAATAGGGAGGCTATATTTTGTGATGTAAATCATCTATGTACATAATTCACCAGCAAAAATCAAACACCTCCACGAATGCTTTATATAGATACGCCAGAATGTGGTTAAATAATGAGTTCACTAGGGTGCAAAATATAATTCACGATAAGTAAGCGAAATGATATATATATATATATATATATATATATATATATATATATATATACTAACGCAACTGGGTTTTGTGCGTAAAATTTTCTTTTCGGAAATGAAATCGTCTCAATTTAAGTATTGTGTAAAAAAAAATAGTCACTTTAAAAGGGGTTGGGTCATGAGAATACAAAATAATATATATATATATATATATATATATATATATATATATATATATATATTTACTAACGCAACTGGGTTTTGTGCATAAAATTTTCTTTTCGGAAATGAAATCGTCTCAATTTAAGTATTGTGTAAAAAAAAATAGTCACTTTAAAAGTGGTTGGGTCATGAGAATACTAATATAGTTCATGGGCGTGAAATAAAAAGTGTGCAGTGACGTATCATGGGAGAAGCGGGGTACCAAACTTCTGGATTCTTAAATGTGCGTTACTTGAGTTAATGTTGTGTCAAGTAACTTAACTAGATGGGAAGTTCACGCATTGCTGTCGGCAAAGTTAGGCAGGCTATATCTAGTTATAATTATTGCTTTTTTCAGCATCTCGGACATTGACATTGAAAAAAATATCGGCTGTACTTTCGACTCTCTGAAGATTTTTAATGGAACAAGTGAACAAGATAGCCAGCTAGTTATGTTTTGTAAAAGGGACGATACTACAACGAACATTGTGGTATCCTCAACAAATGCTATGCATCTTGTTTTTAGGACAGATGATTCTGTTCAATATAGGGGCTTCAGTGGAGTGTATCGTAGTTTTGGTATGATAAAATCTTCTTTTGCCATTTCATACTTTTTTACGTATTATAGCATTTTTGTCATCAGAACTACAAAAATATGTAAAATTATTTTTTTTCAAATAATATTATATTATAATTTTTAATTTGCACTCAATATATATATATATATATTTAAATTAACAAGTCATATAAATATTTTTGGAAAATTTTATAGATATATTTCAAATTTTCTTTCGGAAGTTCATTGGCAGTTTGGATAATTGTATGCGTGGATATTTTAACTAAAAGTGATTACATTTTTCTAGATTACAACTCAACAATAACGAAACCAAGATATGGATACATCGCCAGTCCAGATTATCCCCTGAATTATCCGGCAAATTCTTATTTCTCTTGGACCATTCAGGGGACCTCCAATAGTTATATTTCCATGAGGTATTTAAAAAAACATTAAATAAAATAAATAAATAACTTGGTTAATTTTAAGTTAGGTTTCTAATAAGCAAAGAGCTACAGAATTAGCAACTTTTAAATTTAGATTTTTCTTTCTATGGCTATTTATCAAGTGTTCTTGAAGAAATTTGAAGAATAAGTGATAAGAATAAAAGTGTCTTAAATGCCTTAAGAAACCAATTAAATTTTGTTGCGAATTTAAAGCCAAGATGGAAAAAAATCAAGTTGCTATCATTATAGTTTTGATTGATTTTGACTCTTGAAACATAAAAGAGTATATATGTAT